TCTCTCAGGACTATTTCCCAGAAAATTTAGATTTTAGAAGACTTTACTTTGTAAAGATCTTCTCGCAGTGATGGCTTCCTTGATTCTGCTAATTTTAATTTAATTAATTAATTTAATTTAGCTGGGCTATGCCTAATTGTAACTGTTGTGCTAGGGAAATTTTGTAGTTGCAGTCTTTTGTCATCTCTAAATGTCAGTGGAGCAGCTTCTGTTTCAAAGTAGAAAGTTAACTAGAGTTCATATACTGTGAAAGACTCCCTGGCTACCCTCTACCTAGGAGCTTTTCCATCTGCCAGAGATGGAGATCTTACTGATCTTATTTAGCCGTTTCGCACCAGCTCCACTCTATAGAACACAGTGTTAACATGACGTAGGGAGAACAGGACTGTTCTGACTGCTACTAACCTCTGTACTCTGGCTTCTCTCGCACCAGCATGTGCCTTGAGAGTGTGTGAATAGACTTGCACAATTGTGAAAAGTTTTCCCTTTTGCTGTCTCATCATCACCTATCCCAGTAAAACTTACACCAGGAACAGACTGTCAGTATGTCCCAATGGACACAGTGGCCCAAGGTTTTACCATCCAGCCTTTGGCTTTCCAAAGCTTTCTCCAGTGCCTCTTCTCCATTTTTTTCCAGGGACTCCTTTCAGAAAAGCCCAAGAAAGGAAGATCTTCCTGGAATTTAGAGCAAAAGAACTTGTCCTGTTCTCTGAAGCAAGCTGAGCTGTGTTAGAGCAGTTACCTCTTGGTCATGAAGGAAACAAAAGATGCAGACTGGTGATCAGCTATAAGGATCAGAATGTGTGTATTTGGAAATGCACATTCAGGATAGTGTCCCCGGTGGCAGTAATTACATTTTCTCCAAGTGGTTCACAAGATGCTTCTGGATTTCAGGTGTTTGCATGGGAAGAACTGATGCTTTTTCACTGATCGGTGCCACTTCCAAATGCTGGGAAGAACAGTGATTCCTCTGGCTGCCTCAAGGCAAGTGTACATATTCCTCTTGCCAGTCAGATCATGATGGCTGTGCGTGTGAGCGCTGCACTACATGAGCCAGCATGGGAGGTGCCTGCAGGTCTGGCTCGATGTCCTGGGGTATCGCCGTGAGCATGAATGTGCCTGTGGGAGTTCTGACGTGCCCAGAGGCAACAGATCTAAGGCAGCGTGTGCGGGGGGCAGCCACACATTTCATTTCTGTGAATGTGAAACGTGAGGACCGGGGGTGCCAACTGGGCATAGAAGCAGAGACAAAACACAGAAATTACTTGAAAACCACTAACATATTCAAACAGACACATAAGAATTGCATTTGGAAAATGTTTCTGTTCTCCATCACATCCTATTAAAAAAAACCCAGTGGATTCATTTTCCATATGATTTTAAAATACCCAGAATTATTTCTACTTTATTACCTTTTATGCCATTGTTTGGAAACAATTTTTGTTTGTTTACATGTGACCTTAAAATCGCATTGCAGTACTAGCAGGCCCCATTTAGCTGTGGCAGCAGATGTTAGTGACATTTTATAGAGCATAAATAACAGGCAGCTGTGAAATGTGGTCGTAATTCTGTCAGGAGATCCTTGTTACTGTTTGTCAAACTAAAAGAGCAAATCTTGAATGATGTCTATATTTGGCAGAAGTTTTTTCAGGCATCACTGGGTACCCACTGCTTTCACGAGGCTAAATTTCGTGGCGCTTAGATGTTGTAACAACTAACTTTGTGTGTCCTGGCGTCTAGCACGATTCATATTTCTGAGAAGACACACAGGCCATGCATGGGAAGAGCAAAGTGCCTGAGTGAGCTTCTCCGATCTAACATGCCGAACAGGGTGTTGCAGACTCAGGGGAAAAACGCTCAACTCTGTGGTTTAAATCGAATGAGGATCGAAGAGGTCTATTGATTTATTAATCACATGTAATTAACCTGCGATCAGAGAACTTTACACTCAGCATCAATGTGAGTAATACAGCAAGGTGAACTGTGGGGCAGAGGCTCCTGGGGGCGCTGGCAGGGAGGCAGCTTGCCCGGGCCCAGGCGGAGGCCGCGGTGGCAGAAGCGGGACAGCTCGTGGCCATGCCAAGCCCGCTCTGATGGCTGCGCCCTTCCCACTTCTCCCCTCGCAGCCACAAGTTGTCAGGCTTCTTTTATCCTTCTTTTCAAGCTGGCTCCTTTTTTTTCAGTCTCCCGCTAATCCCCTAGTTACTTTTTAATCTGTGTGATGGTTGCTTTAAGCAAACTTTGCCATTGCTAACTTGCTCCGAGCATTACCAGTTTCAGAACGGTTTCAGGTATTTTTTTTCGCACGTGTAGTTTACGTTCACAGTCCTCTCTGATCATCTGTTGTTACTTGGGCTGTGTTACCAGGAGGAAACCATGCAAACTCCTCCACAGCTGAGGAGAGGTAAGCCTCGAGCCTCATTTATCTATAGCTGGAGTAGGACGTAGATTCTCAGGTTGTCTTTACCCCTCATGGTTGCATCCCTCCTGTGCGAGTAGCCCAGTTACTGTAATTCTGAGTATTTTTAGCCTCATATAAGCATAATCTTACCAGTCTGAGCATTTGAAGCGGTGCGGGCCTCAGAAGTGAAAAAAGCAAAGGAATCCACCTGGTTTGTAACTGTATTGCAGCTTACGTGTTAGCCAGACACCTAGCAGCTTGGCGCTCTCAGGATACAAATATCATGCCTGACCCCACTAATGCAAACCTAGATTCTAGGAGAACGTTATCAGAAGAGCTTTAGTCTTCAGCAGACTTCAGGTGTGTATACAGTTGGGTGACATTTGTGTGATTTCCGTGCACCAAAAACGGTATCTCTCTACGTCCTCCCCCGGATCTTCCCCTCACTTTACTAGCTAACTGCGGAGTTTCTTGTGCGGTGAGAAGCAGCAGTGCAAAAGCCTTATAGCAAAGAGAATAATCTAACTTAGTTGAAGTCTTTACAGATAATTAAAGCATCTGCACCTCCCTGCTTTTTCCAGATAGTGTCTATTTCTGCCTGGAAGTTTTGTCTGTTTGGAAGGTGGGAACTTCCACCCTTGGCTTAAGATTCCTATGGCTATGTCTGCCCAGGAGAGTTTGCCTGTGTACATAAATGTGTGTTTCATATTATCCTAGATTTCTTAGTGCCTCATCATAACATATGGATGAAAAAAAATACCTACCAGGCAGCCCTTCTTTGACTCAGCAAAACAGCAGATGGAGAAACAAAGCTGCAGCATGAGAAGAAATTTCCTTTTCCAGAATTTGTACTGCACTTTTTCATGCAGCCATTTCAAAAGTTAGATAAATATAGAAGGTATTGCATTGTCTGTATTAAGAGAATATAGTCAGCACATGGAGCCTCTTCTCTCGCTAGATGGCACTGTTACACTCAGAACATTGACAGCCCGAGTCTACTTTTTTGAGTGGCAGAGATATACCTTAGCATATTTAGGTTAACTGTATTTTATTTCCGTTTTGCAGATGTTGCAGGTTAGACAAATTTCTGTTGCAATAGCATGAATTCTTGAGTCCATACGGCCTTTTCTAATTTTTGTTCTTGGTTTGTTGTGTTTTGCCTTCCATGCACTGAACAATTGTGCGGAGATTGTGCAAACATAATACTAAGTTAACTTGTTAGCAAATTTAGGAAGGGTAGTTCAAGGACAGAGGTATGCAAAAGCAGTGTATGTCTTGAGTGCACGTGTTTTTTTCAACGTAAGAATAAGATGTATGGACTTAATACACAGTCCTGTGGGATGTGAAGGTAAACATGAGATAAGAAAGAAGAGTCTAGAGCTTTATGGTCTAGAAAAGGGAAGAAGCACAGCAAGAAATCGGAAGAAAGGGCAAACAAGAAGGAACAACAATTGCGACCAGGGTGTTGATAGCATTGGCAAGCTATTAAGCAATTAAAATTGATAGGAGTAAACAGATTTTTTCTTAGAAACTATGAAAAAAGAAACAAAGTATTTTTTTACCTGAAAGGGAGCATAAAAGAGCTTAGCAAAACCATATGCCCATATGAGTCATTGCCTTCCTTCAACACTGTGCAGTGCAAACCCAGCCTACTAGAACCTGCAGGATATGTCGGAGCAAAACCCAGTTCAAGAATCAACATGCATCAGGGAGCCCCAACTGAAAAGGAGGCTCATTACCCGCAAATTAATATGAAAAGGTTAAGTGAGGACGTTCATGGACTTAGCTTGAGAATCTTTTAAATACGTCTAGGATTTTTCTGTATGTAAAGGAGATTTCTTGGCTTTTCTGGATGCAGCTAAATTGTCCCTCCAGTGACCTTTGGAACTATAAAGATGTTCCCGAGAAGCAAACTTCAGAAAAATTCAGTTTTACAAAACTCTGAAAATGTCTTGGCAAAGGATACCCCATGCAACTGTGCTGTGCAGTTTTTGGTCTTCATATTTCCTGTAGCCATATGCCGTTTCACAATAAGCTATTTGGTTTTCATTTTTCATTTATTAGAGACAATACTTGACCAAATAACATTTTTAGCCAGCTGTTATTGCCTTCATGTTGCTTATGGCTAAGAAAAGATTATTTTGTTTAAATGTGGAAACAAATGAATGGACTTTCTAGTCCTATGTCTTCTCTTCATAGCATGCACGCACACATACGCATACACACACACATACCTGTGCCCCTCTGAATCACAAGATGTGAAATAAAGTGAAGAAGAAGAGATATTGTGGGGACTTCTGCTTACTGCATGATACAAGTTTAAGAACCCATCTCAGGATTCCAGTGATGGCACAATATATGAAATGACAAAATCTATTTATAGTTTATGAAGTCATTGGGACCCTGCAACTGGCCTTTAGCCCTCTGAGTAGATCCAGTAGCAAAACAATGGAAGGAAGAAGAAGAGGGAAGTTTGCCATGTATACCTGGCACTAACTTGGTAGTCAAAGCTCCTCTCTAGGGTAAGCCATTCCCTTCTTCCTTTGCCTTCCATGACAACAAATTCTGTGCCATACCATCCTTTTTGGGCCTGAGCACCATGCATTCAAGGAAAATGTATAGGGAGAATCAGGGCTTGGCAAAATCAGACCAACCTTTTCTAAGTTCTGAGGATCGTCGCTTTCTCCGAGAATCCATAGGAAGTACAGAAAACTACATACCATCTGCTTCAAGCAACGCAGATGGAAAGGAGCTAGTTATGGCAACAGATCAGCTCCCAGAAGAATCTGAAGAGGAGGACCATGGTCTGGAACCTGCTCGAGAGGAGATGACTGAGCCACAAACATACAATCCACAAAAAAAGGGGGCACAAAACTCAGATGAGGTGATGGAGCAGATTACTGAAAAAACAAGAGAGGCCTTTAATTTCCTAACTAAAGGTGAAAATCAGAAAGCAATTGATTTACTTTCCAGTGTCATCAAGCTGAATCCGTACCTTGCCAGCTCATACATTAACAGAGCCAGTGTCTTTTTGCAGCTACAAAAGCCGAATGTGGCCATTAGCGACCTTGATAGAGCTATTAAACTCGATCCTAATTCAGCACAGGCCTATAAATTCCGAGGAAAAGCCCTCCAGCTTTTGGGACAATTAAAAGAGGCAGCCTGTAACATTTCCTTGGCTTGTAAATTGGATTCTGAGGGTCAGGCAAAACTTGAGAGGGAGGGAGAGTCCAATGAAGAAGTGGAGAGTGCTGAGAGTGAGCTGGAGATAGATAATGAAGGGATGGTCAAAGCAGAAGAAGATGACCCCCCAGAGATGGGAGATGAGAATTTGAAGGTAACTAGTGACATGATGAAGCAGGCTGATGAAAAGAAGAAGGAGGCTTCTGATGCGGTGGGAAGAGGCGAATTTCAAAGAGCTATTCAGCTCTTCACTGATGCCATCAAACTGAATCCACACCTTTCTTCTTTGTATGCCAACCGAGCCAGTGTCTATGTGAAGCTGCAGAAACCAAAAGCTGCCATTAGAGACTGTGACAAAGCCACAAAAATCAACCCAGATTCTGCACAGCCCTACAAGTGGAGAGGGAAAGCATATTGGCTCCTGGGTCACTGGCAGCAGGCTGCCAAGGACCTTGCATTGGCCTGCCAGCTGGATTACGATGAAGATACCAATGACATGTTGAAGGAGGTTCAGAGAAGAGTCCAGAAAATCACGAAACACCAGAGAAGGTATGAGGAAGAACAACAGGCAAATAAATCAATAGATGCATTGCCAAGGGTGAGAAAATCCATGGCAGAAGAGGAGAGGGTTCAGCTTCTGACTTCTCAAGAAGAGGAGGAAGCTCATCCTCAGAATGTCAAAAAGCACAAACAGGTTCACTTGTGGACCTCCCAGGAACGTGATAATGACTGTTTTAGGGAATCTGAGGAGCAAAAGCAATATCCACTGGAAGCCTATGAAGAGAACAAGTTTCACCTGGAAGCCCCACGTAGAGCTGAAAGAGACGAAGAGCCCAGTGGAGAACCAAAGAGTGAGGACAGTGAACTCAATACTCAAAATGAACGAGTGGTTGAAGAGGATGAAGAAGATCTTCAGCAAATGGGAGATGAAAACCTGAAGATAACTAACAGTATGATGAAGCAGGCCGATGAAAAGAAAAGGGAAGCCTTTCATGCACTGGGAGCAGGTGAACTTCACAAAGCTGTCGACTTGCTCACTGACGCTATCAGACTGAACCCACAACTTGCAGTCCTGTATGTAAATCGAGCCAGTGTCTATGTGAAGTTGCGGAAACCAAAAGCTGCCATTAGAGACTGTGACAAAGCTATAAAAATCAACCCTAACTCTCCACAACCCTACCAGTGGCGAGGGAAAGCATTCCAGCTCTTGGGTCGCTGGCACAAGGCTGTCAGAGACCTTGAACTGGCCTCCCAGCTGGGTTGTGCTGAAGACACCAATTCCATGCTAATGGACAGTCAGAGAAAAGTCCAGAAAAGAAAGCAAAAGGAAGATGACTTTGTGGATGTAGCAGAGCAGATGAAGAAAGAACCAAAGGATCCAGGAGTAAGAACTAAGAAAGCCCCTGAAGATATGGAAGGAGTTAATAAAGTGGCCTTGGAGGAACATGACGGTTCTCAGGAGAAGGACAAATCTTGGGAAGAGGCCATGGAGAAAGAACAGATACAAGTCAAGCAGAAGATGTTAGCTGAGCGGGAGAGCACACTACAGGAGATGACAAATCAACAGGAGCAGCTAGTCCAAAAGGCCCTGCAGGAAGCAGAGCAGCACCTGGAACTCGAGCAACAGTTGATTGCTTTGCAGATGGAGTTGGAAGAACAGTTCAAAACTCAGCAGATAGGGCTAGAGGAAGAGGAAAAAGCCCTATGGAAGGTTCTTGAGCAACAGGAGAAGGCACAGAAGAAACTGTTAGAAGAACAAGAGAGAAACCAGCTGAAGGCTCTACAGGAACTGGAGAAGGTGCAACAGCAGGCTCTAGCAGAACTGATAAAAATTCAGAAGCAAGGCAAGGAAGAACAGGAGAGAGCTCAGAAGAAATTCTTGGAGGAAAAAGAGACAGCTGAGAAAGCCCTAGAGGATCTAGCAAGAGCTCAAAAAAAGGCCCTGGAAGAACTGGAGCTGGCTCATAAAAATGCTCTGGAGGAACTGGAGAACGCTCATAGTAAGGCTCTACAAGAGCAAGAAAGGGCTCAGAGGGCTGCGTTAGAAGAACAGAGGAGAGCTCAGAAGGCCCTAGAGGAACTGCAGAGATCACAAAGAAGAGCTGTGGAGGAGCAGGAGAGAGCTCAAATGAGGGCTCTCAGAGAACAAGAGAGAGCAAAGGAAACCCTGGAAGAACTTGCAAGAACACAGCAACAAGCCTTAGAGGAACAAGAGAAAGCTAAGAATGAGGTTGTACAGGAACAAAAGAAAGCTCATAAGATCTTGGAGGAGCTGGAGAAAGCACAAAAAAAGGCCCTAGAAGAACTAGAGAGAGCTAAGAAAGAGATCCTGAATGAGCAAGAGGAAGCTCAGAAGAAAGCTCTGGAGGAACAGGAGAGGGCTCAGAAAGCCCTGGAGCAACTGGAGAGATCCCAGAAACAGTATATTGGAAGACAAGGGAACGTTAAGAAGAAAGTCTCTGTGCACTGGGAAAGACCAGAAAAAAACCTTCCTGGGGAAAAGGTGCAATTTCAGAAAAATGCCAAAGAAGAATGTGGGCCAGCCAGCAATATATTCTCTGGAGATTTGGAAATAACTCAGAAGAAAGACCTAAGAGATCAGGCAAAGGCTTCTTTGCAGCAGGGGAGAGATTGGGATAAAGAAGGAGAAGAGAGTGAAGGTCAGAGGGCTGTTCTGGAGGAAGTGCCAAGTCCTGGGAGGAGTACAGACCAACCAAAAGGTTCACTGAGGCCAATTGCAAAGTCCGTATGGGACTTCTTTGAATCAGGGTAGTTCTCAGACGTGTGGCCCAAGGACAAACCAAGGGAGAAATGTTTGCTGAAGAACTGAGCTCAATTTGGAGGTCATTTGCAAGTACTCTTTCCTTTAAAGTAAAATTTCAAAAGCAGACATACAGATTTTTTATGTTTTTTAAAATGTATTTTTTAAGTAAATAATTGAGACACTTTCCATACCATGTTTTGACCCACACACAAAGTTATATGGCTTTCTAAAAGGAGCCCTAACTGACCAGAACTGCTTCAGTTAGTCCTTAAATGGGATGGAGAATTCAGGGTTTCCTTCACCAATCTAAATACCCAGAGAAGGTATTATATACTAGCTGTATGCTAACTTTGTGTTCTCATGCAGGTTCATTTCTTCTTCTGTGTACATACTTGGCATCCTTGATTCTTCTTTATCCATGAGAATGGGGGACCTCTGAAACAAATAAACGGTGGGAATCATTGCTGAAGAGAAAGAGCAGGCATTTAATGAGGAATTACAAGTGGAAGAGTGAATTTGTGTCATGGAGACCTAATTAAATGGTATATTGCTTCTGACATGTTATATGGTAGCGTGATGAGAACAAGGTCTGAATTGCTTGAGGTACTGAAAGGAATCCTGCTTGTCCAAGTCACTCTCTGCAGGGGGAGACATTTTGGAGTCAGGAAGTCCCTTAACAGGCGCTGGCTCTCAGCCATTTGGGATGTGACAAAGACTTTTCACTCAAACTCTAGATTTGCTTCTTAAAATGTTTTTTGCAAAATCAATTGATGAGGCCTGCAGGCATTAAAAAATAAACAATATGAATTGAGCCTTTGAAGTGAAAAAAACCCTCAAAATCATGGGATAGTTGTAATATAATTAACTTAACATTTTTCTCTTTTTTTGCTCTGTTTATTTAATTAAGTTCTGAGCTTTTAGTCAAAATGGCTCAAGTTTTCAAACTTTCCTCTGCCACAGTTATATTGATTTTTTTTTAATCACTTGACCTAAGGAATTAAAATGATATGATAAACTCCAAATGCTGTAAAAGCTGGCTGAAAATATTTTGGGGTGGATTATATATGCAGTAACCCAAATTAAAAAAAGGGAACTTTCAGAACCCACAAATCCACATGGGGAGAGCAGCAGCCCTGGGGAAAAATGCTGCAATTGCTGGTTCGTTGTGGCAGGAGACTCCTTCAGGTGATGCGTATTAGCAGTAGGGGGAACTGAAGAGAGAGGAGTTGCTGTGCTGTGCGGAAGCTGGGAGAGAAATTAAGAGGTGCTTGGGTTGGACTGAAGTTTCTGAAGCTCTTTTTGTCTTTTGAAGGAGTGGATAGGAGCTGCCGCCCAGCCCAGTTGGAATAACCAGGTAAAATAAGCTACTCTCAGTTTTATCTAGGAGCACTGTTGGAGGAAATCCTAACCTGAGTTCTTTTCCTCTGTATTATGAGCGGTAAGGAGTTTATTCAGTGTGCCTTGTCTCTGTACAGAAAGCTGCTTCTGTCTCTTTATGTTTCAGTAGCGAAGCTCAGGAGCTTGATTTATGTAACAGAAGCCTGGGGGAGGGTCTCTTAAAAATATGGAAAAATGGAAAATATTTTGGAGAAATTGCCAGTGAGCGTATTTTCTTGTCTCACCATTGTACCTGTTAAACGTGAGCTCCTGAGGCTCTCCGCTCCTGCCTGTGAGAGCGGAAGTTGTTGAGCATGACAATGGCACTTCAAAACTAGCACTGAAAACAGCTTCAGGAAATGAGTGTTCTCTG